GGAACGGAGTTCAGGCGGCCGCCTGGAGTTGCAGCACTCGTTGGTGCCACTCCTGCCGCAAGGCAACCCCGCGTGCAAACACAACCCCGGCACGCTTTCGACGAACTCACTGATCAGACACCCTAGGCCAGCCTTGAACGCCTGCATAAGTCAAAGTAGCCAACCTGCGTACACGTAGATGAACTTCCAACGAACCGCGTTCCACACGTCCTAGTCACACTCTGTAGCATAAACGCCCTTCTGACCAGAAAGCGAGCTAATTGAACTTTAGTAATCAAAAATATGCATATTCTGTAAAGAAAGCTAGCGCTGCTTTCCTCCCAAGGCCATGGCTCGTACTGGCCGCGATTCATGGTTGCCTTGTGTCTTTTCGCAAGTTTACAATTCATAGTTCCTCTTTTAGGAGATAAGTGAACTGAAGCTGAGGCTTTTGCGCTGTATGCAACTGAGGACTTGTGCTGGAGAGACGAACTCCACCTCGTGCGCAGTAGCCCATTTGTTCTGGTGTCTATGAATTGTTCCTTGCTGACGACGACAGAAGCGCCTTTGGCGATAACGACCACCGCAGTAATTCCGTCTGGTTGCTCTTGCCCTACATATAAGCGCCTTTTGAGGTAAGGAGCATCACAGTAATTTATACTGTTTGTTCTCACCCTTCTAGGGTATTTCAATGGTGGACCCAGCACTGCATTTCGCCCCGCTGCAGAAGTCTGAAAGATAGGCGCAGGTGCGGGAACACGAAGGAGTATGCGGGCTCAGGTACATACGTCAACCCAGTTCACCTTGGGAGCAATGTATGCACTGGGCTGCAGCATAAATTCAAAGTGCTCTGGTCAAGTGCACCTTAGTGTCCGCGTGCTCCCGACTTCCCAGAGAACCCGTAAAGCAGTCGTCCATCCGCACTACGAACTATGTTGAGTGTGACGAGCTTCTCCATATGTACTGAAAGTTTTGCACAATGCGACTTAGCATCCAGGGACCCCGAAAAAATGCCTGTAGGTTAATCAGTAAGGCCAACAACTCCCCGCGCGCCGAACGAACTGGGAAGGAACTCAGTGCATAAATTTTGTGTTGCTTGTCTGAGGCACTAAAAGAGTAGGAGCACCCACTTTTCTCAGAAAGAGCCCTCATTCCTAGCAAGAAGAGCTGTGGAAAGCATTTTACTGTAAACGGGGTAGCGTGCGGTGTAGTCCTACTTTCTATTAAGCTATCGTGGAGGGTCGTACAGACTGTTGGTAAGTTCGAGCTAGCCTGCGTTGTCTGCTGTGGAGTTTCGTTTTCATAGTTGCCTAATAATTCCTTTAGAAAAAATGCGATGGGCTTATACTGTGAGGGAAGAGAAACAGTTGGCCCTTTTTCGAGAAAACTATCAGGGCTCAAAATGCTGAATCGCATAATTCGTGGATGAGGAGGTGGAATGGTGTCGATAGGCTGTGCCAACTCAAAAGCTTCTTGAAGAAACGAATGTTTTTGGTGCTCTGGAAGCAAGGGCTATAGGCAAGTATGACGATCTCAAAGAAGCCATAGCGAGCAGTGCGACTGCCCCTAAACCAGAGACTGCAGCCTTGCCCTGGACGAGTTGGAAGTTGACGTGCCCAGAACTTTCCTTGCATCCCAGTTTCACAGGTCGTCCTTGGCAAGCAAACGGATGAGGAACTGTCAAATACTAATTAAAACATAACTTCAGTATTTGGCACCCACTTGAGCATCGAGGCTGTGAAGCTCTGGAACTGAATGAGGCGGAGGAAAAATGCTGAATTTTAACTTGTCACGGGTGCACTGAACAAAAACGGCATCCTCAAGGTGCAGTTCTTTCGAAAGTTCAGCTTTGTTGAAAAGTGCACATTGTCTCAATCACTGTTTTCCGCAGCATCCAGCTCGCTTAAGAACACGGACAAGCGTAATAAGTGCAGCAAGACAATGTAAGGAGACTGCGCTTACAAACGAAGGCTCAGATACACGGCAAAAAGGACATAAGCGTAAGCGACTTCTTTAGGTTTAGACGGCCTCGCTATTGAGCAAAAACCGGCGAGTTTGAAGTAGGAGCCTTTCCGGAATAGCTGCAGAAGCTAAATCCGTTTTTGATTAGCAAGGATTGCCATTATAAAAAAGATAGTGAACACGCCTTGCGGCTAGGCGAGGCCAAAATAATCGAAGCAGTCAGTATACGCTGCAATGCTTGAGCAATAAACCAGCCTCCTGGGATAGGTGAAAGGCCAAGAATGTAACTCGTTAAGCTTACTGCCAGTCTTACTGCATGGTTATACCCGGTCAAGCTAATCCTATACTTGCGTCGTATATAGTGTACACAGTAGGAAACGTCTCTCCTTTTGGCTCACCTAATTCATTCCTTGGTAATTGTTTACAGCGATTTGCAAAGAAATGCCCACCAAGGTGGTCAAACTGGCGATACCTGCTTACGTTTCTGCAGCGTCAAGGGGCTGTCTCTAAATCAATAATGCCAGTGCAACGCAGCCTGAGCAGTTAGTGCGCAAACATCCTATACGATTCCGTAGTTTAACACTCCAAACAACGGAACCACTGAAGCAAGTGAAAGGCTGTTAGTCTACGTAAATCGTCGGTGGGTAGAATTCGCAGCCTCCGGGTCTAATAGAAATGCATTATGGCAAGACTGCAGTAGCAGCACGAGGATGTCTTGTGAATGCCTGCTACGCAGGTTCGTCTCCATTGGCACCCTCATGTAGCATATGTAGCCGAAATCACATCTGTTGAGCTTCCACTCTGAGTGCATTTCGAGAGAACCGAGCCGCCCCCACCAAAGTTTGGAACAGCCGTGTTGCAGTGGGCTTGAAAGCGAAGAGAAACGGAGAGTGCGACCCTTCAGCATTCATTGTATAAACGCAGGGGCAAAATTGAAGAGATAAAGCTTTCAAGGCCTTTCGCACATCATGCATTGCCAATGGAGATTTTGTGTCTAGGAGTCCGGCGCATAGCTCGGCGACAAACCCTGCACGCTTAGGAAAGGGGGCCGCTCGCACGGTTGATGGTCAGAAGCAGCATTATGGTCTGTTGCATTCACACAGACGATCTCTTCTACAAGCAGCCTTCCAGATCCAGCTACAGGCGTTCGCCCAACAGTTCCACGAGTGAAAATCTGATCGCCCGTATAAGGGCATCAGCGCGAACATCGTCCCCAATCTATAGTGACAGAGTATCGCAAGCCTTAATACCGTGTGAAATCTGCAAGCGGACCCATGTGTAGCCACTTGCAAATCGATGCAGGAGTAAGGGCATCAGTAAAAGAAGCGCCCTCAATCTATAGTGACAGAGTACCGCAAACCTTAATGCCGTGTGAAACTTGCGAGTGGACCCATGCGTGGCCTCTTGCAAATCGATGCATGATTCATTTCAAACAGGCACGCTGATGCATAAGAGTGTCTCTCCGCTAGCGCACCGACTTATGTACTGCGTGTTTTGGAAGAACAAGCAGCGATTGCGCCGCCGCACTAGCCGCAGGGTGAGATTTTTATGCCTTAAACTTCAGAGGCCTTTAAAAGCTGACTACACCAAAAACTGATACACTGACTCCCCGTGGTTAGTGCTGCGCTGGTGACTGACTGCCAGGCTGGGTGCATGCTCTTCCTAGCCCACTCTCTGCAGAGTTGACCACCTCAAGCTGGGTATGCCTGGAATCTGCGCTGTGCGAAGTGTGTAACGTCACCTGAGTTTTAGATGGTGTGCTGTAATTTGCAACTTTTTGAGCGGCACGACACTAACTGAACGGGGCAGGCGCCGCCGTGAGCAGTGACCACCGGTGCTGGGCGAGACCCCTGTCGTTTCCTCCATGTGGTCGGCCTACTGTGTTTTCCATTTCTCCGTTTGAAGATGTCGAGGCTCGAGGGATCCTGCCTCTGGCTGGCTTTGAAACCTTTGCGAGTGATGCGCCGCGCTCTGCCGCGGGCGGATCTGCAAGGCGCCATGCAAGCTACCCCGCTCAACTTGAACAGATATGTGCTGCTTTTCCTTTACATGTTCCAGACGTTCATGACGGGATGCGTGTATTTTGGGTGGGTTCCTCTCTCTACAATGCTACTGCGAGCGGGCGTCTTTAGTTTCAAATGCGACATTGATGAGATTGGGGCTCTTGTGGAAGGCGAAAGGGGGTTTGGCAACAACTACATCTGCGACAAGCAAGACGCGTCCGTGCAGAGCCTTTTCGTTATTACGCTGGCCGCGCACTGCACAATGAGTGCACTTGCTGGTGCCATGATGGACACGCTAGGTCCCAAGATCACCTCTACGATTGGCCAATGCTTTCACATAATTGCTTGGTCTCTCATCTCGACATTGACGGAGGAGTCCAACGCACGCGTATACTTGGGCTTTATCTTCATGGGTCTCGGCGCAGACACTGCTTTCTTGCCTACCCTTCTCGTTACCCGCCTCTTCCCAGGCGCCGCCCCGACCATGATAGCACTAATTGGCTCCGCATCGTCTGCTTCCTTCGCCATCCCACTTGTTTTGGACTTATATCTAACCAAAAACGCTATTTCTGGGTGCTGGTGGTATGTTGGTTTGGGCCCCTGTCTGTTCTTGCTGATAGACCTACTTGTAATGCCTCTGAAGGCATTCGAAGTCTTCGACGCTGATTCTCCCAAAGAACAGGAAGATGTGTACATGGCAGGAAGTATACAGCTTGAGTGCCTACATTTTTCAGACGGAGAAACAGGAGTGTCTGGCTCGGCTATGGAGGCAGTGAATCCCATTCAGCCGAAGTGTCAGCTACCGCGAGAAGGGCCTGTTGAAGTCGTGTATAGGCACGCTTTCTCAAAGACCGTGTTCTCCGAGAGGTATGTACTGATTGCCACATATTTCGTTGCTGTTGGATGGGCCACGGCGTTCTACCAAGAGGCTCACGACCGTATTTTAGTGCCGGCTGCAAAAGATCTTCTGGGCAGTGCTCTGCCTTTCTCGTTCATACTGTGCATACTGTTGGGCAAGCTTCCGGAAACCATTGGCATCTTACCCGTTATGGGAATAGTGAACACGGCGGGTTTACTGGCCTATTCATTTAGCCTGAAGCAGACAGTAGCTGCGGGTGTAATTTCTGTCCTGTGCTTCACCGTGTACATGGCATTGTTCGTTTCACAAGTGTTTGCGTATGTGGAGGAGAATTTCCCTGCCAAGTTTTTTGGTCGTCTCATTGGCATTGTGCAGCTAGTTGGTGGCCTCTTCTCTATCTTGTGCAGTCCACTCTTTCACCTTACCGTCAGTGTAGGTTCGAGGGCCATGTACATTGTTCAGCTTCCGATGATTGGTCTACTTCTTCTCGTGTATTTTCTCTTGGCTCGCATGTGCTGCATCCGAATGGCACCTTCGACGTCGCACACAGCGGCGAATCCCGACAGGCAGTGCCCTGATCCTTCAATTCAAGAACCATAATGGCGGCCGAGCTTCCATATTTGGTTTCTTTTCTGGTCCGCAGCATGCGCATTGGTAAAATCTGCGTTTAGAATGCCGAGCATAAGGCGAAGAGTGGTGTGACAGCGCGTGTGAACATATCACGTTTCTCGTGCGAAATCGCTCTGCATGCCCCTATACAGCCTTGGGATTCGATGTTGTTTTGATAGGCGGAGTACACGCAAAGCGTTTTTGTGTATTGATGCCTTTCCTTCCCATGAATAGGTCGCTGCGCCTGCTTCTGTGAGTTTTGGGTTCTGTGAGTTTTTGGAAGATGGACGCCACTGTTACACGCAGCGGAAACTGAAACGCAGATGACGCATGAGGAGGCTCAGTTATGCTGACTTGTAGGTACCAGCACCCAGAGCTTCACCTTCACGTACCGCAACAACAACGAAAAGACGCTCATCACGCAGATACCCAGGATAGCACATCAGAAGAAATCTGCCAGGATGCAAAAGCAGATAATACTCAGAATTAGAGAACCGTAGGCCCGAACACCTTTTTCCATGGGCAGAGAACAATTCAACTGGACAAAAAAGGCGTGGCATTAGTATGAGGGGCCACCCGTTGTTATGTACGGCTTGAAGTCCAGTAGCACAGCGGTGACGTCACATAATTTACACTAAAATAGACATTAGGGAGTTGGAGCTTATGAAGCGAGGAGGCCCTCGAGGGGGAAAAAGTTGACTGACGATCGTGCAAGCAAGCGCACTTAGCTTGAAACGGTGAAGACTCGTTGGGTTCCGCTGCCAACGCTCGCACTGGGAACTGCTCTCCAACTACTCAAGAGTTGCTCAGAGCAATTCCTAAGGAAGCTAGGGGAAGTTGTGAATTCATTGCCTCACCCCTACAGCATGCGCATCAATTCTGTCAGTACATTGAGAGTGCTTTCAGCCCTAGCGCGGGCAGCCCCATCCATTCTTCCCTTGACGCCTCGTAGCCAAGCAACAGGGGCTTCACCGTCACTGTGTTTTGGTACAAAGAATTATGTGAGAATTATGCGAAAACCCACCATCCCAGCCCTCAGACACATTATGGCCGGAAATCACAGTCTGGGAAGTTACCGGAATTGTCACTAAGCAATACAGCTGTCCTAGTGGGCGGCGTGTCGCCAAAAGTCCGATACACTAGCCTTACACTACTTCGCTAGTGGCCCAGGTTCTTAGTTGGGCCCGACTGTAAGTAGAACTGGGGCAATTCCAGAAGGACCCACTCAGGTTAATGACCAAAGCAGTGATCTACTAACATAAGGCGGAAGCAATTCGGGGGACGAATCTTCGTCCCGAGAACGCAAAGGAGGTGAAGGAGCTGTACGGCCCACTCCAGCTTGTGGAGACATCAAGATGCCCATCTAAACAGACGAGCAGTCGAAATGCAAGAGAAAAATGAGCAAGGAAACAATGCTTTCATTTGAACGCGAGCCCATTAAGCATGATTTGGTGGAAGCAAACGGATGAATCGCGGATGAATCTATCTCCATTTGTTTACTGACCACCTACCTGGCTAGTAACTTAGTCGGCGTTCAGCAATGTACTGGCGTATTAGTGCATGCGATGAGAGCGGGGCTGTGCTGTGTAGATGGGGCCTTTGGCAGCAGGGGTACCAAGCGGAAGGGATGCCAGTCCGTGCAGGCCGCCGCCGCACCTTACACCCACCCCAAGACCCTGCTCCCCTTGGGTCAGGACGTCCGTCCGTCTTAGCCATCAGGTGAAAATATTGTCTTCTGTTTTCTCTGCAACGCATTCCTTGGACGCTCACGATCTCATTCTCCTCCAGCTGCTCCTTGTAGAAGCGAGGTTAGAGCCATTTTGTCGGGGTGGGAGTTAAGGATGCGTGGGTTTGCATCGCCACATCGGGCGTTTTTGCCGATGCGACGTGAGGCCACCCTGTCGTCAGTAATACCCGTACCGGAGGGTAGATCCTGATCAATCTCCAGTGCGAAACATGAAATATTCCGGCATTCGCCCTAAATGTAAAAAATTCATCCCTTCTATCTTCTCACGTAGAACAGAGCTGAATTTTTGGCATTTAGAGCGAATCCCGAAATACTTCATCTTTTGCATGGTGCATTCTGCACTACTAAGCGTTGTCAACCATGCTGTTTAGCTGCGAGGGCATGCTTCGTTGCTTTCACCTGCGCAGATG